CATTTACAACATTGAATCCAATAAGAAAAGTTATCATGTAAAAACATTAAATCCAATAAGAAAAGTTATCATTTACAACAATGAATCCAATAAAAAAGTTATCATTTACAACATTGAATCCAATAAGAAAAGTTATCATGTAAAAACATTGAATCCAATAAGAAAAGTTATCATTTACAACAATGAATCCAATAAAAAAGTTATCATTTACAACAATTGAATCCAATAAGAAAAGGTATCATTTACAACAATGAATCCAATAAAAAAGTTATCATTTACAACAATGAATCCAATAAGAAAAGTTATCATTTACAACAATGAATCCAGTAAGAAAAGAAAAGCAGCAATTAATAAAATCAATTTCGTTCCACGTCGTATTTCTAACAGGAAACTTACACACACAGTACCTTTTAAAACTTATACAGACAGTACCTTTTGAAACTTATACAGACAGTACCTTTTAAAACTTACACAGACAGTACCTTTTGAAACTTGCACAGGCAGTACCTTTTAAAACTTATACAGACAGTACCTTTTAAAACTTACACAGACAGTACCTTTTGAAACTTATACAAACATTACCTTTTAAAACTTACACAGACAGTACCTTTTAAAACTTTTCCAGACAGTACCTTTCAAAACTTATACAGACAGTACCTTTTAAAACTTATACAGACAGTACCTTTTAAAACTTATGCAGACAGTACCTTTTAAAACTTATACATACAGTACTATGTAAAATGTATACAGACTGTACGCTGTAAGACATATATGTACTGTACGTTATAAAACGGACACACGTTGTACATTGTAAAAATGTTTATACACTGTACGTTATAACATTTATACAGGCTGTATACTGAAAAAGATATACAGGCTGTATACTGAAAAAGATATACAGACTGTACGTTATAAAATATATACAGACTGTACGTTATAAAATATATACAGACTGTATGTTGTAAAACTTTATAGACTGTACGTTATAAAATATATACAGACTGTACATGTCTGTGTATGATGTTTCATTATTCATTTAGTTCCTTACATGTACGATTAAGAATACTAGCGCCCCCCAGTGGACTTACAACGCTAGAAACCGGGTTTCGATACCCGTGGTGGGCAGAGCACAGATAGCCCATTGTGTAGCTTTGTGCTTAATTCCAAACAAAAGAATACTAGCAGAAACGCCGCCCTACTGGCGAATGTTTGTATTAGTAATAATTAATCATAGTATTCATTGAAAAAAAATGTAGAAAAAGTGAAGATTTTCTTAAAAAGGGTTATTTTACTGGGAAGTACTGCACGGGAAAAGTGTTCGGATTGTGCTCTTTAGTCATACGCAACTCATTGCATCAAAATGATTCCATGTACAGAGTTCAAGATGTTCATATGTTTTACTGATATAAACTGTAATGTTTTATATACTAAAAGTGGTGCTGTTTATTGAAAAAATAATAGTTTTTAAGAACTCCAGTTTCTCAATACTACATTTAATAATTACGTCAATAAAGATACAATGAAACCCTCACTTAGAGTTCTGGTGAAAGTCGTGTTCTTGTTGTGGGAAGAGTAATTTTATTTAAAATTGTGTTATATTATAAATAAATTGTTGTTGCACATACCACAGTTATTTTTCTAATTGTATGAATCTTGAATACCCAAAGTATGAAAATATTTTATGGATTTTTATTTGTGGTGCAATTCGGTAGGTGGCGCAGGAGTTTTGGTTACATACATAGATACTGACATACACGCTGCGTCTGTTATTAGATAACTGTTTTTGTCTTGAATGTGAGCTCATCATGACTTGTACAAATTTGAAAATATTGTATTTATTTATAACAATATTGTGAATTGTGTAATACGAAAAATGTCGTGCTGCAACATTTACTCTGATTTTCAAAAAAGTAGTCTTGTTTTGTCATTCAAGGAAACTGAAACCTAATATATTCAGTGACGTAATTTAACCCCTAGAGCAGTTTCCCGCTAACGTCACTAATTTTAGGAACGAAATATTAAACGCTCTTTTTCATCTTAGCATATTTGCATTAGCTTTATAATTTCTCTTGTCGTTTCTACAATAGACTGTAGTATGTCAGGAATTCTAATATTTGCTCACATCAGATCCAAGTGAGTTTCGCTTCATGTTAAGAACTGAAACATCCTGATATAATAGACAGATTTAACATGTGAAGTTTCAAAAAGAGAGAAAACCAATAACAAGATAAACACTCGGATTAAACAAGAATTAAGTAGCAGACTTCAGTGATACTCTCAAGCCTAATGACGGCCCGGCATGGCCAGGTGGTTTAGGCACTCGACTCGCAATCTGAGGGTCGCGGGTTCGAATCCCTGTCACACCAAACATGCTCGCCCTTTCAGCAGTGGGGGCGTTATAATGTGACGGTCAATTCGTTGGTAAAAGAGTAGCCCAAGAGTTGGCGGTGGGTGGTGATGACTAGCTGCCTTCCCTCTAGTCTTACACTGCTAAATTAGGGATGGCTAGCGCAGATAGCCCTCGTAGCTTTGCGCGAAATTCAAAAATAAATAAACAAGCCTAATGTGTCATTCGATTAACCGCGTGTCACTGAGTAATAACAGTTTTGATAATTCCATCCCTCGTCATAACCATAGTCCTGTATCACTATGAAAGACATCATACTTCGTGATGGTTATTAAAATACAATAATCGACATAGCTACTATCTCCATACTCTCGATATACCGCATCTACAGTAGCTTTAATTTCGATTTTCCCTTAAAAGCCTACAAAGTTAAGTTTTAATGGTTAAGAAATTAAACTTCCGTATATTTTTAATAGAGTTTTACATGTTTTAATAAGTTTTTTCAGGGGAAGGAATAGAACATCAATAACTGTTTTGGGGGTAAAAAACTCACGAGGTTCAGTAAAAATCTTACTTCAGATGAAAATAAAACATGTATCGAAGTGTTTCTTGTTCGTTTTTGAATTTCGCAAAAAAAAAACTACTCGAAAGTTATCTGCGGTAGCCGTCTCCCTAATTCAGACGTGATAGGCTAGAGGGAAAGCAGTTAGTCAACTTCACCCACCACCAACTCTAGGGCTACCCTTTTACCAACCTCACATTATAACGTCCCCATGGCTGAAAGAGCAATAATGTTCTGTGAAGGGATTCAAGCTCGCGACCCACGGATTGCGAGTCTAGCGCCCCCTAACTACCAGGCCATGCTAGGTTCTTGCTTCAAATATTACAGTCAACATTTTAATCGCGACTTTCGAAACGATTTCAAGTATGATAAAGCGTTTTAAAATGTTTTAACTGAATAGTATATATATAAAGCTCGGCCAACTCACAACAAAGATACTGTTACGTCTCTGGTCGTTTGTCAATTTTCCGTAGAAATTCTTTCCGAAAAACTTCAGCGATACAAGTCCTTTCTTAAATAAAATTACTTTATTCTTTCTCAATACAACTTTGCAATACACTTAATTTCCACAGTCACTTTAACTTAAACACACGCTAGAATTCACAACGATTCACGCACTTTACTTACGACTTGACTCGATTATCTGTCTCTATATCTCTCTGTCTGCAACTTATCTCTCTGCCGTCACTTTATTTCCCGGCTTATATACGAGATAGCATGCCTAGAAAAGCCTAGAGTTGCGAGGAACAGTCACGATTTTTCTAGAACTCCAGCGCATGCTCCAAGCGTCGCGCGACTTCCGCTGTCGTAACAACATGAATACATAGTACTTGACACTGGTTATCTCGGTATAAAGTTATTCGTTGTTACTTCCAGATAAATTCACGTCTACTATTCTTTCATACTGGTCATCTCATATTGTTAATTATATAATAAATATTTTTTATTTTGGCATAAAATAATTAATAAGTAACTAAATGAAACTTAGAATGTCCTTAAATTGTTATTTATTTCTCTGTCTATGTTATATTTTTTCTTGTTTATAGACGAAAAGCCTGTTTTGGAGGAGGCTTTTCCTGAAAATACTCTTCAACCAGGATCATCTGTGTCAATGAGATGTGGTGCCACAGGTACACCTCTCGCGCAAGTCACGTGGCTACTCGATGGCTTTCCTCTTCCTAACTTGTTACGTTTTCGAGTTGGAGACTACGTCACTCAGTCCAATCAAGTGGTCAGCCACGTCAATATCAGTGCCATTAAACCCGAAGACGGGGGATACTTCGCTTGTATCGCCAGGAATGAAGTTGGTAAAGTCGTCCATCAGGGGAAACTCAACGTCATTGGACCACCTGTAGTTCGTAAAATGCCCAACATGACCGTGCTTTCAGGCCACAGCTTTACTGTCCAGTGTCCAGCTGGAGGCTATCCTTTGACATTCATCACGTGGGAGAAAGGTTAGCAGTAAAAGGATATGTCACTTATTCACATATACAAGACGTGGAACAACTTTATCCTGGTTTTTATATTACATCTACCCCAAACCCAACTCAACAAGCTACTCAGATCCTTCTACCCCTATATTAAAACCCAACTCAACAAACTACTCAGGTCCTTCTACCCCTATATTAAAACCCAACTCAACAGGCTACTCAGGTCCTTCTACCCCTATATTAAAACCCAACTCAACAGGCTACTCAGGTCCTTCTACCCCTATATTAAAACCCAACTCAACAAGCTACTCAGGTCCTTCTACCCCAATATTAAAACCCAACTCAACAAACTACTCAGGTCCTTCTAACCCTATATTAAAACCCAACTCAACAAGTTACTCAGGTCCTTTTACCCCTATATTAAAACCCAACTCAACAGGCTACTCAGGTCCTTCTACCCCTATATTAAAACTCGACTCAACAAGCTACTCAGGTCCTTCTACCCCCAGATTAAAACCCAACTCAACAAGCTACTCAGATCCTTCTACCCCTATATTAAAACCCAACTCAACAAACTACTCAGGTCCTTCTACCCCTATATTAAAACCCAACTCAACAAACTACTCAGGTCCTTCTACCCCTATATTAAAACCCAACTCAACAAACTACTCAGGTCCTTCTACCCCTATATTAAAACCCAACTCAATAAACTACTCAGGTCCGTCTACCCCCACATTTATT